CTGCCTCGGAAACCCAAGGAGGGGTCGCTATGAGTCAGGGCTGACTCGACGGCACATAACAACAACAACAACAACAAGGTAGCGTAGTGCTTAGAGCACTTGACTGCTAACCAGAAGGCTGACGGTTCAAAGCCACCAGCCACTCCTCGGAAGGAAGATGGGGCAATCTACTTCCGTAGTGATATTGCCTCAGAAACCCAAGGAGGGGTCGCTATGAGTCGGGTCCAACTCGAGGGCACATAACAACCATAACAACAACAAGGCTAACCCTGAATGGATTTAATTTGAATTTGTAGCTGATAGTGTTTTTGTGTCACTATTCCCTGGAGTGCATTACTGTTGCTGGCCCCAAATGCAAAATAATTCCCAAGAAATTCTCAGAGACACTTAAGAACTGTTGGTGGAATTAGAGGCCACCAGCTTCAGGATTAAAAATAGACAAAATGAATGGAAATGGCTGTATTCAACCCCTGTCTAAAATTTCTAACACCAAAAAAAAACAAAACAACACACACATGGTGACCCCCATGTTTTTCAAAGAAGAACTGTATTCCACAGGATTTCAATAATTGTAATCTTTGGGAAGTAGATGGCCAGGCCTTTCTTTTGAAGTGCTACTGAGTAGATTCAGTCACCAACCTTTTGGTTAATACTAAGTACTTAACTCTGCTAAATCTAAAATTTCTACCACATACTTAGTCTACTACTTTGCTCTTTAGCTGAAAAGGAGAAAAATAATGATTAAGAGGGAAAGAAAGACAAACAGAAGAGGAAGGGATAGCATCGAACAGCTTCAGACTGTGGTCTATACCTTCCATGCCTGTACATACTTAATAATTGACAAGAAGGGAATCTTGTGTCCTTTCCTCAGGGTGTATAAGGTTATATTGGATTTTGCAAAAACAGAGGAGAATAGTGTACAGTCATAATAGGAATGCTTGCTAAGTGAGGTAAGCCCTTTAGTACTTACATGACCAACTTGTGATGAAATCACTGTGCTTTTACTCAAATAACACACGCCTCCTACATGTGTTTGTCAACTGCTCCCTTCCTATGGGAGGTATTTTCATAAGTGCCTCTGTGCCAATTATTTTTTTTACATGTTGCTGTAAAATAATTCGTATAGCATGGTTATAAAAATACCTCCTGGAAGGAGGCAGTAGTTGACAAACAAATGTAGAAGGCACACGTTACTTATGTAAAAATATGGTATATCTTTTTTTTGTTTTGTTTTAAATGACAACTTCCTTATTTTCTCTATATTTAAGAAATAATATATATTCATTATAATAATGTTGAAAACAATCTGTATAAAGAATAAAATAAAAATAAACTAATATTATGTGGAGATAACCACTGTTACTATATTTTTTTTTCATAAGTGGAATCAGAAAGACTGTTTTGTAAACTGGTTTTTTATTCACTACAAATTGATAACCATTTACTGTGGTGGTCATTTAGCTCCTTTGCAGTTTGGGGTATTATAATGTCTTACATAGGATTTTAAAATGTAAAGAAATATATTATTTAATAGTCATATAATTTTAAATGTTAAATTTATTATATATTACTGAATATTATTTAATATTTCAGAAATTAAAAATATAAGGAATATTTAGTAAATAATGTAGAATTTAATTTTTAATTGTCTGTGGTTTTGTATTGGTGGAGATATAGTGTTATCCCTATTTACTAAAAGAGAAGTCTTGTTTGTCATTTAGATGCTACCTGGAACAGCAAGACCAGGCTCTCGTGGTGGGCCTGTTGGGACAGGAGGAGTTCTGTCTTCTCAAATCAAAGTTGCAGATCGTCCTGTAACACAACAGGGTTTGAGTGGAATGAAAACTGGAATGAAAGGTATATATTTTAAGAAGATGAATGTATTTTCTACAAGAAGTTTTACTGAATCAGAATTAGAGTGAAATTCTTATTCCTTGATTCAAATAATTGTGAGGTTAAATAAGAGAATGACTGTGAAAATCCTTTGTGAGGAATTAACGGTCTTGATCTGCACTGTCCAGTATGATAGCTATTAGTCATTATGGCAAGGAGCTCTAGTGGTGTAGTGCCTAAGGCATTTGACTGCTAACCAGAAGACTGGCGGTTCAAACCTACCAGCCACTCCTCGGAAGGAAGTTTGGGGAATCTACTTCCGTAGAGATACCGCCTCAGAAATCCAAGGAGGGGTCACTATGAGTCGAATCGACTCCGCAGCAGTGAGTTTGGTTTGGTTTTGGTGATATATGGTATTTCTATCATTGCAGAAAGTTCTTTTCCAGGGACAGACCTAATTTAGACTCCCTTATGCCCAGTATAGGAGCTTGGGTTAGTGCTGTGGTTAAAGCATTGGGCTACTAACCAAAAGGTCAGCAGTTCAAACGCATCAGCCACTCCACTAGAGAAAGAAGAGGTAGTCTCTTGCCATAAAGATTTAGTCTTGGAAACCTTAGGGTAGTTCTACTCTGTCCTACAGGATTGCTGTGAGTTGGAATTGACTCAACAGCAACAGTGGGCTTGTTTTTTTTTTTTTTTGAATACTCAGTATCTGGTCAATCAATCTGTCTTACAGAGTTTACTGTTTTAACAGCCCACCTCTAGCCTATCTTTTTAAGTTTCATTGTTTCCTTAGCTTTAAATCTCTTTTTGTTGCATCAATTCTTCTTGATTGATTTGTTAAAGGTATTCATGAAGACTATATGATAATTGTGGGAGCTCTGGTAGCATAGTGGCTAAAGCACTTGACTGCTAACCAGAAGGCTGGCGGTTCAAACCCACCAGCCACTCCTCGGAAGGAAGGTTGAGCATTCCTACTTCCGTAGTGATACTGCCTCGGAAACCCAAGGAGGGGTCGCTCGGAAACCCAAGGAGGGGTCGCTATGAGTCGGGGCCAACTTGATGGCAAATAACAACAACAAACAACAATATGATAATTGTAGAGTGGAATTCTGGTTGTGCTTTGGATATGCTATTTAGGTGACATTTTTAGAGTACTAATACTAACACTTTTGCTTTTTTTTTTTTTAGGTCCTCAGAGACAAATTTTAGACAAATCTTACTATCTTGGGCTTCTTAGGTGTGTTAAATAAAGACTTTTTTTTTTTTTAATGTGTGATCATGAATATTTAATAGCTGTGGTACTTATTAAAATAATTAGGTATTTATTGCTTTTTAAGAATAACTTTGTATTCTGACATAATTTGGCTACACTGCAAAATAAAGGTGATGATATAGTTAGGCTAAGAGTCTTAATTTTATGTATTTGCTTGTATGTGAGCTATGTATTTCAGGTTCAAATTTTTAATCTAATGATAAGAATAATCTTCTATGGTATTTTTGCTAATAATTCTGAAGTATATTATTCATACCTTTGGAACGTCAATAGTTACATCTACTAAGAAAGGGAAAATGTATATATTTATTTATGATAAATTATGTAAATACAGTTTTACGTAAGTACCTATATGATCAGTTACTGCAAATGTGGCCTAATTTTAATATATTTATAAGCTTTGTTGTATGTCTCTAAGCATGGAGCTCTAAACTAAGATTTTTTTTCTCATTATCTGCTTACCCTTTTTTCTGCTCAGATGTCCTACTGTCCTGTCTCCATTTTGTCATTTTATTTTCTTGTTGTTGTTGTTGTTATGTGCTGTCGTGTCGGCTCCGACTCATAGTGACCCCTCCTTGGGTTTCCGAGGCAGTATCACTACGGAAGTAGGATTGCCCAACCTTCCTTCCGAGGAGTGACTGGTGGGTTTGAACCACCAACCTTCTGGTTAGCAGTCAAGTGCTTTTAGCGCCTATGCTACCAGAGCTCCTATTTTCTTCTTAGCTCATCTATATCGTCTTTCTCTCTTATTTCCATTTCATTTAATCTATCCTTCTATTATGGTCTAAAAGTCCTGTTTTCTTTACTGTTTCTTGATTCTTTTGCATTGGTTTCTCAGATAAAGAGAAGTATAGGTTCCTCCCCCAGTCTGTCTTCAAAGTGAAGAAAGATAATGAGGCTATCATTCAGTGTAGCATTTCTGATAGCCACTTTTTGATTAAAGGAAAGAAAAGAGATAAACTTATTCTTTTGTTGATCATTGCATTGCCTTTCTTCTCTAAGATTTGTGCTTGTTTTGAAGAATAGTTTTAGCTGTTCATGTAATTGTGTGAACCAAAAGTAGTGGTTCTCTACTAGAGATGACTTTGGTCACCAAAGAATATTTAGCAATTTCTGGAGACCTTTTTGTTGTTGTAAGGGTGTTGATAGGAGCTCTGGTGGCGTAGTGCCTAAGGCATTTGACTGCTAACCAGAAGGCTGGTGGTACAAACCTACCAGCCACTCCTTGGAAGGAAGCTTGGGCAATCTACTTCCACAGTGATACTGCCTTGGAAACCCAGGGAGGGGGTGCTATGAATCAAATCGGCTTAACGGCAGTGAGTTTGGTTTTTTTTTGGAAGGGTGTTGATAGCAATGATTGTGAGAGTGGTGCAGGACCAAACAGTGTTTCATTCTATTGTACATAGAGTTGCTATGGGTCAAAACCAACTCCTTGGGACCTAACAACAACAACAAATAGATAGTGGGGAGAGATACTACTTTACAGACCAAGGATGCTGTTAAATGTCGTACAGTACATAGCCACCCCCCGCTATCACAAATAATTATTCAATGGCCTAGCATGTCAGTATTGTCAATATTCAGCAATGCTGTCCTCCAGGGTAGCAGAATCTGTGCGGGTGACAATTAGGCATCTACTTCTGTCCGTGGATTGTAGCACTTTGACCAGGCTTCTATTCTGGTTTTATTTCATCTTTCTTAATCATTAGATAATCTGTGCTAGTATCATAGTACATGATAGTATCATACTTTTTTCTTGATCAAATAAATGAATTAAATTATTTTTTAGTGAAATTTCATAAAACCGTTTACATTATTGTTATATATGTATGAGGAGTTTAAGTTTTGTTTAACTAGAAAGACTCTCTTTCAGATTAAAAATATTTTTACTTTCTTTTATTTAGGAGTAAAATAAGTGAACTTACAACTGAAATTAATAAACTTCAGAAAGAAATAGAAATGTACAATCAAGAGAATTCAGTATATTTGTCATATGAAAAGAGGTGAGAAATTTTGCAGTTGAAATATGAAAAATCTTTTTTATTATGCATATCATTTGATAATAAAATGTTAGGAGTTTAAGTTATGCATAATATTCATAACTGCCTGCTTATTTATGTATTTATGAATGTAATATTTATTTTATGCTTGCAGGGCTGAAACTTTAGCTATTGAAATCAAAGAGTTTCAAGGACAACTAGCAGACTACAACATGGTATTTGCTGCCTTCTGAGAGAATTTCTTTTGAATATTTTCATTGCTTTTTACCACTCTTAAAAATATTTATTATTTTAAATATGAAATAACTCATGAATACATGCTTTTTGTGAACATTTCAAACCATAAAAACTACATAGGGTAAAATACCCCTTTCCTTTCTACTTCATTTTGGTTCCCAGATATAACTTGGCTTAACTGATTGATGTGTATCTTCCAGTTTTTTTTTTTTTAAATACATTTACAGGCAGTCTCTAGGTTATGAATATTTGACTTAAGTATAATCTGTACATATGAACCAACCCCATAAAGCCTATTATATTGAAAACTTGAGGTTTGTAGTAACAAACAGGTACTACTTTGTAACATACATCAAAATGTTATTATGGAAGATATTTTAGTTTTTCTGGACGTGTTCTTATGTATAGAAAGGTGTACTGTATACCAATACAAACATTTGACTAACTGATGCTATAGACGAAACTTACTATTCTGATTTATGTACAAATTCTACTTAAAGACAAGTTTAGGAACAGAACTTGATCATAATCTGGGGACTGCCAGTATTTACAAATAAACATGTACACACACACACATATTTTTTTTCTCAACAATGTTAAAATTATAATTTACAAGGCAGCTAAAATGTTTTGAATGTCTATAATGTCATTGCTTTGAAAACACATTTTATAGAGTCTACCTGTATGTCAATAAAAAAACAACTGAAAACAAACAAACACATTTTACCTTTCTATGTAATGTTGTCACCAGGAAATTGTAAAAAATTAATTATTTCACATGCAGAATACCTCCATTTATATGTTTTATTCAAAATAAAGTGTTTGCATTCTCTCAAAATAGAGTATGTAACATAGTTTAGTTCTATCACAAATGATTTGTAATGTAGTCTTGACATAGTGTTCATAGCTGTCCCAATCCTCAGGTTGATTTTGGCACCATGAACATTTCTAATGTCATGATTTTCTTACTTTCAACTCCTTAAAAAAACCAAAAGACTCACTGCCGTCGAGTCAGATCCGACTCAAAGCCACCCCTCCTTGGGTTTCTGAGGCAGTATCACTACAGAAGTAGACTGCCCAACCTTCCTTCCGAGGAGTGGCTGGTGGGTTTGAACTGCCAGCCTTCTGATTAGCAGTCAGATGCCTTAGGCACTACGCCATCAGAGCTCCCCTTAGGTGCTTTATTTATTGCAAAAGACACACTTCTATCTCACTGCTTCTAACTAAGAAGCAGTGAGTGTTAGAAGAAATAAGAAACATTCTACTGTAATGGTTAGGTAAATTATGATTACCTGCTTAGTATTTTTACATTATTTATACAAACAAAGGAAGCTCTGGTGGCATAGTTCCTAAGACATTTGACTGCTAACTAGAAGGCTGGTGGTTGGAACCCACCAGCCACTCCTTGGAAGGAAGATTGGGGGATCTACTTCCGTAGTGATACTGCCTTGGAAACCCACGGAGGGGTCACTATGAGTTGGGTTCAGTTTGAGGGCAGTGAGTTTGGCTTTTGGTATACAAACAAAATTTTGCTGATTATAGTATATTATAATTTCAAGTTTCTTGCACTATATAATTCATAATGGACATTTTGAGGGCCTAAAATGTATGAATTTTCCTTAGTAAATGTTCTGTTTTAAATATAAAAAAGAAATAGTTTTTATAAAATATCAAGTGACATTTTGTAAAAAATCTTTTTAGTTAGATTGAATCCATTGGTAAAGTCCTTAGTCTAAAAATATTAGAAAACGTAACATATGCTAGTTATAGATTTAATGAAGTAGCACGACATGTCTGATGCCCTCTTGACTTTTTGTTTCTTTTTTTTGATATAGAGAAATCACTTAGCCAGATAACTAACATACAGTAAAACCAAAAACCCAGTGCCGTTGAGTTGATTCTGACTCTGATCCTATAGGACAGAGTAGAATTGCCCTGTAGGGTTTCCAAGGCTGTAAATGTTTACAGAAGCAGACTGCCTTCCTGAACCACTGACCTTTTGGTTAGCAGCCGAATGCTTTAACCACTACACCACCAGAGATCCTTAACATGTAGTAAGCACTCAATAAATGTTACATCTCATTAACCAAACCAAACCAAACTCACTGCCGTAGAGTTGATTGTGACTCATAGCAACCCCTCCTTGGGCTTCCGAGGTGGTATCTCTATGGAAGTAGATTGCTCAGTCTTTCTTCCAAGGAGTGACTGATGGGTTTGAACTGTCAGCCTTCTGGTTAGCAGTTAGATGCCTTAGGCAGTATGCCACCAGAGCTCCCTAGATCTCATTAGCACTTATTATTTATATCATAATTAAAAGTGTGATACATATTAACACATGTAAGTATTAGGGGCTCATCTTCTGGCACTGTATTGGATGATGTTTCAGGGCTATTCATAAAGTTTTCCAGTAATACATCAGACAGTGTTTCACTGCTATTCATAAGGTTTTCACTGGCCAATTGTTTGAGAAGTGGATGGCCCCTTCCTTCTTCTGAGTCAGTCTGAGTCTGGGACCTCTGCTGAAACCTGTCCACCATGGCTGACCCAGCTGGTATGTAAAATACCAGTGGCAGAGCCTCCAGCCTCGCAGCAACACACAAGCCACCACAATATGACAGACTGACAGACAAGTGGTAGAATTGTTACAGTTGGTTATACTAAAATAATTTGCTTTTAGTGGACCACCTGTTCCAATTCTGACTGCCAGAAGCTAAATTTCCTTGTCTATAAAATATAGATAGTAATATCTACTTCATAGAGTAATTGTGAAAATTGAATGAGTTAATACATGTAAAATGGGAGAACAGTATTTGGCATGAAACAAATACCCTAAAATGTTAATTATTGTTACCATTACTTGACTTTTTGAAGTGGCTTACTAGTGTTCTGTTTGATACTTGCCCTGTTGACTTTTTTTTTTTTTTCCTTTTTTAGAATACCAGGAAAATTCCTTTGTATTTTTACTAGTGTAAATTTGTATATCTGTTAAAACTTCCTCCACTTACAAAAAGAGAGAGAGGTCTTCCCAAAACTTGCATTCTTTAAGCCCTTTTTTAAGGAGGCCTCGGAAGGAAGATGGGGCAATCTACTTCTGTAGTGATACTGCCTCAGAAACCCAAAGAGGGGTCGCTATGAGTCGGGTCCGACTCCACGGCACATAACAACAACAACAACACTTGACTGCTAACCAGAAGGCTGGCAGTTCAAACCCACCAGCCACTCCTCAGAAGGAAGCTTGGGCAATTTACTTCTGTAGTGATACTACCTCGGAAACCCAAGGAGGGGTCACTATGAGTCGGATCTGACTTGACAGCACGTAACAGCAACAACAACAACAACTGGCTCAATAAGGAGCCCCAGTAGCACACAGGTTAAGCATTTTGCTGCTAAGTAAAATGTCAGTGATTTGAACCTACAAGCTGCCCCATGGGAGTAAGATGTAGTAGCCTTTTCTCTGTAAACCCTATGGGGGCAGTTCTACTCTGTCCTATAGGGTCACTATGAATCATAATCAATTCAATGGTAGTGTTTTTTTGGTGTTGTTGTTGTTTTGTTTTGGTGGCTCAGTGGTTAAGCCCTCGTGTTGGTGGTTTGAACCCGCCAGTGGCTCCATAGGAACTCTTGTAAAGATTACAGCCTAGGAATCCCTGTGAGGCAGTTCTGTTCTGTCCTGTAGGGTCACTATGAGTCATCATACTCATTGGCACACAACGGCAATAAACCCTTCTTTACAAACTCAGGCATCTTTTCAGTACAGACAGATTTCTTCTAGGTGTGGTCTATAGGAAGAGTAGCTCATTACTGCTCACTTTTCTATCCTAAAAATATAGTTTACTGTTTACCGAATGCATTGTGATTGCTTACTTAGGTAGTACAAGATTTTTTTTTGTCTTAGAAGATAAAATACTTAGTATTAATATTTGACTTAAACGACTACTCACTGAGCACTGATTAACTAAGAATAAGACTGAGATTGAACAGTTATAAAAATTACAGAGAAAATTTATAAAGACTAACAACTTTTTTTTTTTAGTTGGTAGATAAACTTAATACTAATACTGAGATGGAAGAAGTAATGAATGATTACAATATGGTAAGAAAATTTATAAATATAAGCAGTAGATTTACTTAAGTCATATCATCTAAAACAAATAATTTACATCTAGAGCAGTGTGATAAAATGTTATGGCCCTTAGATATGGGTATTACTATAATCCTAAATACTGCTATTAGGAGCTTTGGTGGTGTAGTACCTAAGGCATTTGACTGCTAACCAGAAGGCTGATGGTTCAAACCCACCAGCCACTCCTCAGAAGGAAGACTGGGCAATCTACTTCCATAGAGATACTGCCTTGGAAACCCAAAGAGGGCTTGCTGTGAGTCGACCCAACTTGATGACAGTGTTTGATGTTTTTTTTTAAGAAGAAACAATGTATTTTTAAAAACATTGCGAATGTCATTAGGATTAGTATAATAATATATAATTTAGTACAGACCCAGAATAACCTCTAAAGAAATAGTTTGGTTTAATAGTTATTATTTTTATCATTAACTTCTGTTTTTAACTGTTTATTCAGCTTAAAGCTCAAAATGATCGTGAAACACAAAGTATGGATGTCATATTTACTGAAAGACAAACGTAAGTACAAATTAAAGAAATCAAACAGATTCTTTTTTTTTAAGAAAAAATTTTTATTGTGATTTGGGTGAAAGTTTACAGAGCAAATTCATTTTCCATACAACAGTTCAAATACGTTTTATTTCAGGATACTGATCACAGTTCCCATAATGTGACAGCTTTCTTCCCACTTTTTCCCTGTGATTAGCTTTTCCCTGTGTCTTTCCTTTGCATTCCTACCTTCGGAGCTGTCTCCCTGTGCAAATACTGCCCTTCTGATCTCCCATGGTGGATTGTTCTGAGAAGTGTACCTATCTGGCATAAATGTCTGGCTAGAAGCCACGGGAGTGAGTTCAATTCCAGGCCTGAAGAATGACTGAATGAACAATTCAGAATGAACATTCCAGGGCTCTCTGGTGGTTATGTTTGTATGTCAACTTGGCTGGGCCTGGTTGAGTGGCTGAGCAGCTGGAGGCAGTAATTCCCCATGATGAGATTGGCAGTCAACTCCATGGTGGGATCTACCACAAGCAGCTCAGTAGCTGCCTTTGGGATGTGGTCTGCTTCCTGTATATAAGAAGCCTTGGGGATAGTCTCTAGCTTATGGCACACTTGGACCCTGCACATAGCCGTGTTGTTCAGTAGCAGCCTGTCATGCTCTGCTGACCTTGGGACTTACAATGGACTTGAATTAATGGCCTGCTGTGTGGTTTGGTAGCATCAGGACTGTGCCTTTTTACTTGTCAACCTTGGGCTTTGACAGCTATCTGAGTGAAGAAAAGTCTAGCTTCAGTGGGCCGGGAGCTGGAGGCAGAGCTGAAGCTCAAGGCTGAGGGGCTTTCACCCAGCCCATAGAGCCTGACACTTTGAACTTGGACTTGAAGCCTCCAAACTATAAGAGAATAAACTCCTGTTTGTTAAGGCCATCCCATTTGTGATATATTTCTTGTCAGAGTGGCACTAGATAACCAGAACAGGGCCATAGTATCGAGGGGTTCACCAATCTTTATAAGACCAGTAAGCCTGGTCTTTTCTATGATCTTGAGTTTTGTTCCACATTTTTCTCCCAGTCTACTTAGGATCTCCTATTTTGATCCCTTTCCAAAGGTTAACAGTAGTAGCTGGGCACCATCTAGTTCATCTGGTCTCAGGGTCATGTAGGCTGAGGGTCGCATGGTCCACTAGTCCTTTGGACTAATTATTTCCATGTATCTTTGGTTTTCTTCAGGCTTCTTAGTTCCGGACAAGGAGAGACCAATTGTTGCATCTTAAATGGCTGTTTGTAGGATTTTAAGACCCCAGTCACTACTCAGCAAAGTAGGATGTAGAATAATGTTTTTGTGTAGTGTTGTTATACCAGTAGAACTTATTGTCACCTGCAACCATGGTCGGGAGCCTGTGGAGCCCAGTGACTCATTTTCTCAGGGTATTTGGCTGTGGCTAAGAAGTTATCATAACTTTGCCCTGTTAGCTCTAGCATGTTGTTGTTGTTGTTATGTGCCGTCGAGTCGGCCCCGACTCATAGCGACCCCTCCTTGGGTTTCCGAGGCAGTATCACTACGGAAGTAGGATTACCCAACCTTCCTTCCGAGGAGTGGCTGGTGGGTTTGAACCGCCAGCTGTCTGGTTAGCAGGCAAGTGTCTTAGCCACTATGCTACCAGAGCTCTAGCATATATCTATTATATATTTGTGTGTGTGTATATATATATATATATATATATATATATATTTTTTTTTTTTTCGTTAAGTCACATACAAATATCTATGTAGAAATATCATCTGCCAAACTTATATATGGTCATGGGTATATTCCCTCGTGCCTGATCATTTAGCCTACTCACCTATGTATCTATCTGTAGATGAATGTTTGTTATTAAAGGTAATGCAGTATTGTATATGTAACAGTGTTTGTCTTTGTTGTCTGTACCTCTTATATACCTTCCTGTGTCATCCTTTTCTTTAGTGTTATTGTGTTGATCACTTGCTTTTGGTATATTGCCTTTCCTTTTACCCAAATCAAAACTTGTCAAACAGACTCTTAGGTGAGCTTTAGGTAGTTTAACTGCTGAGCCATGTGTTCTCTTAGAATTTTTCTTAACTATTTTTCCCTGTTGCCTTTTTTTTTTAATGTAAATAAGTTGGATAGTTGCAATACATATTTTATTGTTTACATATCTATTAACTTCATTTGCCATTAGATATTTAAGTCCTATACAAAGAATAACACAACATAGATTACATGAATAGGATTTCTACTTTTGGAGCTTAAAGTCTAAGATTGATAAAAACACCTTCTTTACCACTTGGCATTTTAACAAAATTGAATTGTGAGATTGCAGCCCTAATCCAAAGAAAATTAGATTATCAGTAGTGGTCTATTTACATCATCTCATCAACATTGACATATAGTAGTTATATTAGCAATCTGTATTATAGATAAAATTTATATATGCATCTTCATACAAGGAGCTCTGGTGGTATAGTGCCTAAGGCATGTGACTGCTAACCACAAGGCTGACAGTTCAAACTGAAGACCAGATACCAACTAACTTTGACTTTGTTGATAAAGTCAATGTAGCATTGGGAATAATGCCTAGAAAGTAGATTTGATGTAAATATAATTATTCTTCATCACCTCTTTGACTTTAATTAAATATTGTCTAAAACAATTAAAAACACAGATATTAAGTGTCAAAACTGTTTGGTGATATTTTCATGGCAAATTACTACATTTTATGATATTTTCTCTTTAATCAAATGAACCAATAAACATATGGCAATCTTAAAATTTATAATCTGGGAATTATTGTTTGCATCGGAAGGAAGGTTGGGCAATCCTACTTCCGTAGTGATACTGCCTCGGAAACCCAAGGAGGGGTCGCTATGAGTCGGGGCTGACTCGACGGCACGTAACAACAACAACAACTTTTATATACATACAGCAGGAGGAAAGAGTTATTTCATGCATTAACCAGATGGCTAACATCTTAATAGCACAAAGATTCATCTTGACTTTAAACATTCAAAGAGAGCAGGAAATATCATACCTTAAGAAGGCACGTGTGAAAATTTTCTGTGTTTTCTTTTAGTGCATAATATGGAATGTCTGTTTATAGTAAGTTGGATATAGTAGATAGCCTTGATAAATTACCACAATAATACTTAGAAACCTGGCTTTAATTCATATTTATGTGTCAGCATGAACTAACTGTTCTTGTCCAATTCTGATGTCTACGCTTTCTGGTTTGTTATTTATTAAAATCAGTTGTCCTTTAAAAACATGTAATTATAATTTTAAAGCTGTTTTTCTTTATTTAGTCTGATATTTATTGAATACCCATTCTAAGGGCGGAATGATAAAAGGCTTTGAATATGAGGTTGAAGTTAGATGTAGCCTTTGCCCATTTATAATTATATTTCATTTCTTTTACATTTGTCAATATTAATGTTTGTATTTTATAATTAGGAAATTATATTTTAGCAGAATGATGCATCACTGAGAAAATATAGTTAAGTGTTCCTGAGATTATATCATTCTTGCATGTTAAGATTTAGAACAGTAAATTATAATTGGTGTTATCTATTAGAAATATTAAACATAAAAACATTTATATCCTTTATTAGAAACATGTTCCTATAAATATAAGCAAATATGCAATATAAATAAATAGGTCCATTCTTTTATTTCACAGGGCATATCATCCTAAACAGTTTTCATTTTCTCTCAGTAGACTTTGAACAGAATCTCTGGTAGCATAGTGCCTAAGGCACTTGACTACTAACCAGAAGGCTGGCGGTTCAAACCCACCAGCCACTCCTCGAAAGGAAGATGGGGCAATCTACCTCTGTAGTGATACTGCCTCGGAAACCCAAGGAGGGGTCACTATGAGTTGGGACCGACTCCACAGCACATAATAACAGCAACAACAACATAACTTTAAAAATAATTTATATACATTAATCTATAAATTTACATATTTTTAGTTTCTTTTATGGGATCTTTAACTATATACACATTTTAAAAATGTTATTCTGGAGAAATTTGCAAAAAATAGTGTTTATACTTCTATTTACCCATCTTCCGGCACCAAGTACCATTAGCTCCATCCATACCTCTAGCTACCGTTCTCCTTCCAGTGTTATGATAAATAAAACCTCAGACATATTATTTCATCCATAAATATGTTTCATTGTTTTAGAGATAAATTATCTTTAAAGCATATGGACAAATATACTTATTTCCTCATGCATGGATGGTAAAATATTACAGAGTTTGCTATAGTTTTTAATGCCACTATTTACATTGTTAAGTTGGTAAAATTATGATTGCAACCAATTGGTTTTAAGAAATTGACAAGTAATTTACTTTAGATCCTTCCTATAATAGCTATAGTCTTAAGGCCAGTGTTTTCCAAACTATGTTCTTTGGATCATTATTGTGCTATCAGCTCTTCAACGGTATACTGTAAGAAATTATTTTTGTTGTCAAGTAAGTTTGGAAAATACTTAATATTTTTCTTTTGAAGATTCAAAGAACAGTTTAGCTTAGGAAAGTCCTATAGTAAAGACTTTTTTATTTTGCTTGAATCCCATGTTTCCTAACTTGACCGTGGACCTTTTTATTTTTCCCCCTGTAATGCTTCTAGGTATCTCTCAGGAACATCGTGTTCTAGAAAGTAATTTGGGAAGCAAGCATTGCTCTAAATAGCAGATCTCTGATAGCTATCCATGAACCAGCTGAAGATTTCTCTGCATCAGACCAGGCCCATTTTTGTAAAAATCTCAGAGAGAGGAAAACAATACGTATTTTTAAAATAAGAACCATTGATAATTCTGATTCCCACTTGGGAAGCCTCTGTCCTAGTCAGTTGTGGCAGTCATACATTGTACTGATGGGCTTTCTTTATAACCTGTTCAGTTTATTAGGGATTATGCCTGAATGTTGTGCCTGTGCTTTATGTTGCTATTAAAGTTTAAGGAAATTTACTGTGATAAATCAGGAAGCATATTTTAAAACAGTATTTTCAACTTCATGAATTCACACTATGAGCATAAAATTTATCTTAGAATATTGTGAGTTTAAGTTACCCATTCTTCCATACTTTGACCCATAATGATAGATATCCAAAACCCTTATTTATTTTACTGATTGGAACTGTAATTGAAGATATATAACATTTAAATATCTAGGTTAATATGAGGATTAGTTCTTTTTAATTAATAACATACTTTTGGCTTTTTCCTTATCAGTATTCATGGTTTTATAAATGCAGCTGAGAATAGTAATGCTGGTATCGTAGATTAGCCATGTAACTGTTCACTACTGAGGAGTGTCAGTTATTGTATTTCAACTTGCTTCATCCGTACCAATGAAGAGAACAGTTTTTTTATATTGATGTATATATTGTATTTAACATGAATGTGTATTAGCAGTTTGGTGTGTCATGTATCAGAATCTCCACGTCTACACTGTGAGAGGACTGATAACATGTTTAAAAGAATCAAACATTAAAATAAGTTAATTTTCTTCATGTAATTCATGGGTATCTATATATTTATCTTCAATAAACCCATCATCATCTACCATAAATGAATGTAGTTGTTCAAATATTACTGTAGTTTCTTCAGAGTTTGTTTCTGGTATCTCTGAAAGAGGACTTGAATTGCCAGTGAAACCATCTTCAGAGGTTTCTGGTTCATGCTCTTCCAGGCGGTGATGATTGTAACTGAGCAGAAAATTATACCATACTGGGCATTTGATAGAAATAAAAATGAGTAGTGAAGTCATCAGTACAGTGACAGCAACACCCACAAGAAAAGCCCAACTTTTTCCAAAACTTTCATGTTCTTAAATGGGATACCGAGAGAGAGAGAGAAAGAGAGATTTTGTTAAATTGACAAAAACAAATTAATAGCATATCCTAATACAACATAATCTTGGCATTGGGAAAGAACATACATTATAGTTTTCTTTAGGTGAAAGTTACTAAATCAACAATAAATAAAAGGTATTTCATAGTATAATAAAAGAATATCTTTTCATTTACCTTTCACCTAGGACATTATTGATTTATGCCAGTTGAGAATTCTGACTTGATACGTTAAAACTAAGGCTCAGTGAAGTTAAATAATTTGCACAGTTACTTTTGTCTGATAACTAGCAGAACCTAGTTTGGAAACCCAGTATTCTGTAAATCTTTTTGTTAAGATGAGACATTGTTCTTTTACATTGTTCATAGATATTTAAAATGAGAGATAAAAACTACCTCAATTTATTTAATATGATACCTTCAATGATAATCATATTTAAAACCAGTATATTACCTGAATTTATTGTTATGTTGTTCAAGGAATAATTAAATGTTGAATTACTAATAGATTTGAAATAGACATCAAGATCTTCATTTATAGATGAAAATTTTGAGTGACATTCCGTTTTATAAGGTACTGTTTTAATACTGTAGCTCTTCAGGATATCCGGGTTGCTACACATGGTGATGTCTTCATTTTCTAGTGAATCAGAAAAAAAATTGACATTTATCATAGAGAATAAGAATGGTTAACAATTTGTATTATTCTTATCTAGGATTTTTTTTTGACATTCTGTCTCTCATTAGTAAAGATACTATAAGAAAGAAGCTCTTGTTGTATTTGCCTGGCAAAACAATGAGGGAAAGATGCACATACCTGATAATATATTTTATAAATACATTTTAAATGAAGTATCTCTGTATTGCTTACTTTGTCTCTGTTAGTATTTTATGATTAAAATTATGGCTAAGATCTGGGTCTTAAGCAGCGCATGATTTGCAATTAACAACATAGGGCCCCTGTTTTCACCTACTCTGTGGCAAGCTGTCTTAACAGGAAAGTACGTAAAGAAAAAGTATTGAAAGTTTATACTTAATACATGAAGTAATAAAGTTATCTCATGCATATGGAACATTTTTCTTTCCTCACCTCCCCAGCCCGGGAATGGGGAAGGGTAACATCTATTCAGCAGTTGCTTATCAATGCTTCTTCATGTCTCCTTTAAACAGGAATAGTTTGCTTCTCTTGAAAAGGTAAAATGAGATTTTTTTTTGCAGCAAAACAACCTAAATTCAGTCACATTTTGTTTTGATCATTTTAAGATAGCTTACCTAGTGTCACATTTGATGAATTCAACCAGTTCTGCAAATTGAATAGTCTACATGAGCAGTTCCATGGATTTCCATGTAAAATTATTAATTCCAGATGAAATAGTTGTGGAACATCAAAAGAGCGTATCAAATTGCCTTGCAGATTCAAAAGTATCAGATTTTGAAGAGGCACAAATATATCAGGATCCAACTGAACTATTTTGTTTTGACAGAGATGTAACTGTTGTAGTTTATTTAAGCCTATGAAAGCACCCTGTTGAATTACATAGATAGAGTTTCTACAGATATTTAAAATTTCTAGATTGGAGAGGTTACTAAAACTGTTATTATGTAAGATAAAGATATTATTTTCAATCAAATAGAGCTCAGTGAGTAAAACATACATCTGTAGTGTCCTTATATTTCTAACATTCAAAGTAATTTGGTTATAACTGAGATCAAGTATAGTAACATCTTTATGGATATCCATTGGAATGAAGGAATAATTCTTTTCTGTGAAATTGCATCTGACTTCCTAAAAAAGAACAAAATTAAAAATGAATTAGTTAGGAAAAATATTAACATTATTTTCTAAAATTTCATATTCAGGCTCTTTGACACTGGAAGGAAATAGTTCTGAAGAAAAATATCATCTCTAATCTTTTGGTACTATCATGTGAAGAAGGTAGAACAAATATTTTTTCTTTCTTGTGGTGAAATATTAAACATTAAAGAAATTCTGATGCATATACCCTGATGAGATTATTTGTCATACAGCTATCTTCCAAATATTATTACATAATCATTACAAACAGAAAGAGTACTGGTAGATTCTTATTTATATATATGGAAATAAATGGTAAATAATAATTCTATTAATTTATTTGGTGTGCAAGATTAGCATTTATTCTGAGGAAATTATTTAGAAATATGTCAGCATAGCCAACACTTTACCTAAGGATGTACTAAATAATTTAAAAATAATACCTAATATACAGGTTTAAGGGAGCTCTGGTGGCGTAGTGCCTAAGGCATTTGACTGCTGACCAGAAGGCTGGCGGTTTAAACCCAACAGTCACTCCTCGGAAGGAAGGTTGGACAATTAATTTACTTCCATAATGATACTGCCTTGGAAACCCAAGGAGGGGTTGCTATGAGTTGGATCCAACTCGATAGCAGTGCATTTGGTTTTTTTTTTTAATACAGGTTTATGAGGTTAACAGCTCAAAGTTTGGTGTTTGAAAAGGAGATACATATCTTAAAAAAAAAAAAAATTGAGCCATATATTGAGTGAAGGAGCCAGACAATGTGTCAGAGCTAGGTCACATCTGTATCCTTCTGTGGGTATAAATCCAAAGCGATAGCTCTTCTTTTGACTACTTTTGCATTTGAAATATCCCCCCAATATAATAAACACTGCAGCAACATTGTTTACTACAGTTTATTATAATTTCTTTCATAAATATGTGTTTTACAAAGTTTTTTACCTTTTAAAGTGTGATTTTTATATCTTAAAACTACTCTCTGGCTTTATACTGAAAATGTACAGATTTTTCTTTATAATTGACTCTTAAAGATCTAACAGTTTTAAAAAGTGAAAACTGCTTTTGTCAAATTAAAATCTGGCTCAGAGAGCTGATTTTGAATATACACAGCTAACTACAGAGTTATTTTCGATAGCTCCGGTTTTCTTTACTTTCTTATGCTGCTATGGGATATACTCCTGAATGTACACCAAGTTTACCTTTGACCATATTTTATTTAGTTGATTGTGAGGACTTACTGTTTTAGAAGCCTGGCTTTCATCTGATAATAATACCATGGCAAGGGACCAAAGGATCGTGATGCAGGTGATTTTCATACTGCTGGCCTGATAGAAGAGAGTATTTTATCTCAATAGGAGACTAGTACTTTTGTGATTGTTAAGAACTCTTTGATTTTTAAAACTTTTTCCTAAAATACATAAAGCATGAAACAAGACCTGACCCTTCTCCATTGTGGCACTTTGATTTGAACAAACTGAAAAGTACCTGTGGGAAACGAGAAGATAATAGTTTTTAGGGTGTCTCATTAGTTCAACAATAATAACGTTAGTTATTAGATCTGTTGAAAGGACCTTTAAAGCAACTGAAGTGGTTGTACATTTAAATGTTTTAATATAAGTGCACAGAAGAATGTCCGGAAGAATATATATTTATGTAGGTATACATGTTTAAATATATGCTTATATTGCTATTTCCTGATTTTTCAGTCTAAAGCATTATCCATTGGTATTTATTTTTATTGTGATTTGGGAGAAAGTTTATAGAGCAAATTTATTTTCCATTCAACAGTTCAGTAACATTTTGTGACATTGATTGCAATACCCACAATGTAATAGCTCTCTTCCTACTTCCTCCCTGTGGTTATATCCGTTGGTATTATCTGTTGACTTCCAACTATGGAAGATGGGAGTCTTCCTCTCTCTTTCAAATACTTCCTACCTTTATAACCAACACATTAAATGTTCCTGTCTCATAATTCTTCTAACACAGTTGTAATTAGATCAGTATTCAGTATTTATATTATCATGAATGTGTAAATGATATCAATGGCTAAGCTATTCCTTCTGTGGAAGGAAATGGAAGCAAGGTAGGGCCTGCAATCCTCTGTAGAAATGGAGACAGAGGGAGGTCTTAACATTTATTATCTTTATCATCAATGTACTAATGGAAATAAAATTACAATGATTAGAAAAGGATTTTAAAATTATTTTTCTTTCCACTTGATACATTGCATACTTGAAAGCAGTGTAGACTGAGCTCAATGTAGATTCTGTATAAAAAAGTCTCAAGGAATCTAAAATAATATTAGGTCTAAAGTTATAAAGGGCACTGGTTGAGCCACATAATCCATGGAAATTTTCATATGTGTGTCTCTTTTAAAAGGGGAAAGACAAGGGATGGCTGTTGACCATCACTGAAGTGAACAGATAAATCCCTACACATAAGAATCACTTTTGTTATTAGCTACTATTGAGTTGTTTCCAACTCTTAAGACCTTATGTACAATGTAATGGAACACTACATAGCATTATTAGCAAACTTAAAGAAATTGGATTGGCCAAATAGCCAGTAGGTTATGCATACATTTTCCTTAAAAAAGTTAGTTTTTGAAAAAAAGACCATTTTTTCTTTTTATTTCCTTTTGGATTTTTTCCTCAAATTGAAGTAATACTTGGATTTTATTTTAGTGATTAAAAACCAAATCACATCCCATTGCCATTAAGTCAGTTCTCAATTCTGACTCGTAGTGCCCCTATAGGACAGAGTAGAACTGCCCTGTGTAGTTTCCAAGGCTGTAAATCTTTGCAGAAGCAGGCTTCCTCATCTTTCTTTTGCAGAGCAGCTGGTGGGTTCAAACCACTGACTTTTTGGTTAGCAGCCAAACACTTTAACCACTGTACCACCAGAGCTCCTATTTCAGTTTAGTAGCTAATAAAAAATACAGAACAAATGTAATATCAGTTTCTTCCCAGTTATTTCATAAAATTCAGTATTCTTTTAAATACCCTGCCGCCTACATTACAGCAAAAAAGAGAGAGAGAGAGAAAAAAAGAGCTTTACCCAAAAGGAAATGGTACATAGTATATTAAAGAAGAAACAGTGTTCTTACTAATGCATTTTTTTTGACATTTTATTGTCATCATTGGAGTGAAAGTTTATAGAGCATGTTTGTTTTCCATTCAACAAGTTACGGTCATTTTGTTTTTCGATGTTAGTTGTAGTCTGTTCACTATAACAGCACTCTTTCCACTTTCTCCTTAGGTTCCCTGTTTCCATTCATTCTTTCCTGCCCCTTCCTGCCTTCTGAACTTTGTTTTTGGACAAATGCTGCCCTTTTGGTCGTGTATGGTTGATTGTTGAGGAAAGCTTTCATCACAGATGTTATTGATCGCTTTATATGCCTGTCCATGTTAATGCAACTTTAAGTACAAATTTTTAGGAGTCTTTGGGAAGTAAAAAGTGCTATAATTATTTTGGTTTTGTTAAGTAAAATATATGTGCAGTTTTGTCACTAAGTAGTTTAGATATTTGTGCCAGAATTCAGTGTATTTGAAATAACATGTTAATTATTCACAAGTAGTTTCGCTCATTTCTTAACTATCTTACGGACTTTTTTTCAAGTCTTAAAACTTTTATAATGGAAAATTTCAAGAAAAAACAAAAATATGGAAACTACATCTTGCCCCAACTTCAACAATTGTCAACTGATGGCCAATCTTTTTTCATCTTGCAAATTTGTTTGACATTTAATGTCACTTCAAAATGCTGTATAATTAACATATTTCAGAATAAATAAAAAGTCTTAGATATTTGTGTAGATAATTTTTTTTTTTTTTTTTAAAGAGAACTTTTTTGGTATTACATTGTTTTGTTTGGAAAAGATTCTCTATCCATGTCCCAAGTTTATATTATTTTTGAGATAGACTGTGTAAATATTTAATATTTTCTGCTGTTTCATAACTTGTTAAAGGCAAAGCATTGTTTTACAAAATTCACAAGTTTAGGTATGATTTATTTTTTAAAAAATCAGTAACAACACCAAACACATATAGATCTTACCTTTACTTTTTCTTTTCCGTCTGAGATTGGCAATCGGAAGGAATCAATTCTGTTTCTTCTGCCCCAGTAAGGAAAAGTATGTCATATGATTGTATTTTACTTTGTTTTAACCTTTGTACCCAATGAACAGGTGTTTAAAAAAAAACAACTAGACTTCCTTAGCAAAAGATTGACTAGAAGACTAATTTCTTAAAGTTATCTTTGACTTTGTTAGTGTAACAAGCAGTGTGTTTAATCTTTATGATTGTTATTTATTCTGAAAAATGTAAAAAAGTTTACTTTGCAAGTTAGTGTATAATATTGAAAATGAATACTTTTAGAAGATATGTTATTTCTAGAGGAATAGAAATAGTGTTGAATGTGTTTTATATTTGGAAGATTCAAATTGAAAAGATACCACCAAGTTTTGTATCTCATTGATTTTTATCTCTGTTGTTTACTTGTTTTTACGACCGTCATTGACCATTTCCCTACCACATTATGACAGGAGCAAAGTGCTCAGAGTGTTTAAAGACCTGACAGTTGGCCATTACGTGGCCTTCAGAAAACCAGTAAACTTCCTTTTGTTGGAGTTTCCCGTCTGTAAAATATAATACTATACAAAATTGGTTCCCATCTAGCCACAGTATACCTCTTAGGTAGAAATATTAATAAGATTCATCGTGGTAATGAAGAGTTATGCAGTAAAAGGAGCTCTAGGTGGCTTAGTGGGTAAGGCATTTGACTGCTAACCAGAAGGTCAGCGGTTCAGATCCACTTTGGGAGGAAGATGAGGCAATATACTTCTGTAAATATTTACAGCCTTGGAAACCCAGTAGGGGAGCTATGAGTTGGAATCAACTCGATGGCAGTGGGTTTGGTATTTTTGGTAGTTCAGAATGTGTTAGTTCCAAAAGATGAGCTCTTCTGGGTCTTAGTATTCTCAATCTATATGAAACAAAGAGATTGAAATAGATGATCTTTTCTACTGGAAAGTTCTATGATCCCATATGTCAGGTGAAGCAGCAGCAAACACATTTATTAAACTATAGTAATTGTAGCTCAAAGTAGAGACATTGCCACCCGATCCAACAGTGACAGAAATAAATGGAAATTTTAGGTTGTCTGTATCTTATGTTAAGGATCTCTGGTGGTACAAGTGGCCAAGACATTTGGCTGTTAACCAAAAAGTTTGGCTATTAAAAACCCACTAGCTGTTCTGCTAGCGTAGTGACTAAGGCATTTGACTGCTAACCAGAAGGTTGGTGGTTCAAACTCACCAGCTACTCCTCGGAGGGAAGGCTGGGCAATCTACTTCTGTAGTAATATTGCCTCGGAAACCCAAGGAGGGGTCACTATGAGTCGGGTCCGACTCGACAACACATAACAGCAACAACAGCTGTTCTGTGGAAGAAAGATGAGACAGTCTTGCTCTTCTGTAAAGATTTACAGCCTTGAAGACCTAATGGGGATCACTATGAGTCAGAATTGACTCTATGGCAGTGAGTTTGGTTTGATTTGGTATCTTATGTTCACCTTTTATTTGATTATTATAAGATATTGTCTGTAGAGAAATTTCTAAGTTTAGATTATCTTATTTTAGTAGTTGGGTATTTATTGTAGGAGAAAATGTGGATCTCAGGGGCTTAGGTAGTGATTGTGAAAATGGTAGAAGTTGGTATATATAAATGAAAGAGAATAAATAGTGGTAGAAAAATCAGATTTGTAGACCCAAATAGAAATTTAGGATTTTAAGACTGAAAATTTATGCTCAATTTATAAGTAAATTTTGAAGTATTTACATGACAAGTGGCATATTACCTATTTTTTTTTTTTTTTTCAGCATTTTTTTCTCTACCCTATCTATCATTGGGGAGCTCTGGTAGCATAGTGCCTAAGGCACTTGACTGCTAACCAGAAGGCTGATGGTTCAAACCCACCAGCCACTCCTTGGAAGGAAGGTTGGGCAATCTACTTCCGTAGTGATACCACCTCAGAAACCCAAGGAGGGGTCGTTATGAGTCAGGTCTGACTTTATGGCACATAACAACAACAACACCTGTCATTGACCTTGCATGGGTAGTGCTTTGGTTACCTACTGCTGCTCTGACAGGACTATACCACAAACGGGATGGCTTTAACAAACAGGAGTTAATATTCTCTTACCGTTTGGAGGCTTTAAGTCTGGGTTCAAAGTGCCAAGCTCAAAGGGCTGGGTGAAAGCCCCTCAGCCTGGGGCTTCGGCTCTGCCTCCAGCTCCCGGCCATCTGAAGCTAGAGGCTTTTCCTCACTCAGACAGCTGCTGGCTGCTGAGACTGACAAGCCCAAGGTTGAAAGTAAAAAGGCACAGTCCTGATGTTACCAAACCACACGGCAGGCCATTAATTCAAGTTCATTGAAAGTCCCAAGGTCAGCAGAGCATGGCATGCTGCTGAACAGTGACACAGCTACATGTTGGGTTCAAGCATGCCATAAACTAGACACCATCCCTCAAGGCTTCTCCTTATATACAGGAAGCAGACCACATCCCTAAGGCAGCTAGTCAGCTGCTCACAATAGATTCAACCGTGGAGTTGATTACCAGTCTCCTCATGGGGAATACTACATCCAGCTGCCCAGCCACTCAACCAGGCCCAGCCAAGTTGACACACAAACTTAATTACCATAGGTAGTAGGTGCCACGTTGCTGATATTTCTTGTGATTATGTGATAAAGGTAATTATTGCTAATAATAATTTCACTATTACTACTTTTATTTGTAATGGTAGCTCTGTTTTTAGTGAAATTATCTTACTATTTTGCAGTGTTAAAATATAACAATAATTGGTAGAATACTTATTTTGATTAAAGGAGTAGGTAAAAGGTAATTTAAGCAATGCATATTATTAATCTAAAGCTATGATTTTTTCAAATTAAATTGTACTATAGTTTTCCCTACTTCCTAGTTCAGTTAGCGCTTCAGTGATTTTTATGATTTACATGGTAAACTTCTGTACAAGATTTCATTTGGCAAAGAATTGGGTGGCTAAAGGATGTTTGAAACCACTAAAACTTATTTGTTTTGGGGATGTGAGAACTATTAAAAGGTGTAAATACATCCTCTTATCTTATACATCCTTGAGGATTTTCTGTGATAATCTTTGTGTTCTCTTAGTAAAGCAAAATGGAGAGTAAGGAAATAGAAGGATTTAGGGATGGAGAAGAGAAAGATGTAAGATAAGTCTGTGTTGGCAGGGCCAAGCTAAATTTTAAATAGGTCAAATAGAATTTTTTTTTGTACAAATAATGGCTTTTGAATTGCCATGGTTAAACTACTCTGATTGATTAACCTATTAAATTGAGACTATGACTTGAGTAAAATTAATTGGTATTTTTCTCCACAATATAGTAAGAGTATTTTATTTTCTGATTTCAGGAAAGAAAAACAAATTAGAAATGTAGAAGAAGACATTGAACAGGAAAAACAATCAGCAGATGGCATTATCAAAAATATGTCTCCTGAAAAACAAGTTAGGTACACAGAGATGAAAACTACAAATGAGAAATTGTTGCAGGTAATAATAGTAATTACTATGTGCCAGATGGGTAACAGTCTTGCTACCAGAAGTGTGGTCTGAAGATAAACAACAGCTGCTTCCCTGAGAAACTGACCAGCACAGTGTTAATTTAGCGAGATCCCCAGATGATCTGTGTGTACATTCGAGCTTGAGAGTTCACTGTCTAGAAAACCCCATTTGCTTATGCTACTGGATGACTTAGCTTTTATCAAATTTTTTCATCTTTGTTCAGTTCTGTGTGTCATTCATTTTTACATGTCATAAGGACATATGAGAACACTTGCTTTTTTTAAATAGAATATTCTTTCTTTATTTTTAAATTTTAAGAGCTTGTTTTACATTCGACATTACGTGTACATTTAGTTTCACTCCCCATTTACCATGTCCAACCCTAACCCAGTCTGCTCCCCTCCGTATCCTGTAACCCTTCCCCTGTGCCCTCATATTTATGCACTGCTTTTTGTCCTGCATTTCCTCAGTTTGAATGTTGGTCCTCTGGTGCCCCATGGTCTATTGCTCTACAGGATGTATTACTTGTGTTTTTGATGAGCTTTTGGTGGTCATTGAACCAAAATTATGGATATTTACGTTTTTTTCCTTTTCCTTCCCATCTAATAAACAGCAGATCTTTTACGTAGTAGGTCCTTGATATGAATAGTTATTGTCCCCTAATCATGAATAGAGGCTGATTTGAATAAGAAATTTGGGTGTTTGCCAAGGGATTACAGCAAATTCTTCCAGTTATTTAGTCATGATGGTGACTAATGAAGTTTGAAAGTACTCATTCATGCCCACAGGACAGAGAATTAGGCCTCATAAATGCCAATGAATATAGTGGTAGTTTCTGAGACAGTTTAGTTTCAGACCAGAAAAAAAACCAAACTCACTGCCATCGAGTCAATTTCAACTCATTGCAACACCCCATTGGGTTTCTGAGACTATAAATCTTTACAGAGATAGACTGCCCCATCTTCCTTCTGCAGAGTGGCTGGTGGGTTTGAACTACTGACCTTCTGGTTAGCAGCCAAATGCCTTATGCACTACACCACCAGAGCTCCTTTTTATTTTAGACAGGATTATTAAATACAATGAAGCATTGAAGAATGAATGTCATAGAAAATACAAAAATACTACTAAAATATTGTTAATCTTGTATAGGGGTTATATGAATAAGTAATTAGTTCAAGGGTCTTATCCTGGGAGTGAGCCATATAAATTGGTATAGGTCTTGGCCCTAAAAGAGACTAGGCAAACGATACAAAATCATGGTTAGAAAAAATAAAAAAATCGTGACTTTTAACAATGATAACATTGGTTTGAAGGCTTCTGAGCTCTGGTGGTGCAGTGGTTGAAACATATGATTGCTAACCAAAAGGTTAGCGGTTCAAACCCACCAGCTCTTCTAGGGGAGGAAGATGAAGCAGTGTGTTTCCGTAAAGATTTACAGCATTGGAAACCTTCTGGGGCAGTTTTGCTCTGTCCTGTAGTGTTAGTGTGACTTGGAATTGACTTGATGGCAGTGGGTTTAGGTTTTGACAGTTAATGATCTCAGAACAGCAATGTTTACTGTGGAAAGATCTGGCTTCCTTTCCCTGGCTCATAAAGTTTTTCTGAAGGTAGATCATACCAAGGTTTTCAGGAATAATGAAAGAAACTGGGAAAAACATAAATAAAGATAATAAATTCTAGTCAAAATGTAAGCTATTAGTTGAAGGTGTTTATAGAATTTACTTTGTCATATCCATGTTTGAAATGTTGAGGGCGAAGCAAATTATTCTTAATATAGCTTGTAATTTATATTTGTACATATTTTTTCCTTTTAGGAATTAGATACACTTCAACAACAACTAGATTCACTGAACATGAAAAAAGAGAGCCTGGAAGCTGTAAGTATAAAATCAAGTAAGAGTTCTCATATTACTTAGTTACAAAAGATAACTCAGCTAAATATATTATTAATTCAGATGCATGTTTATTTTGTAGTTTACTAAGAGGAATTCAGTAATTTCTCTTCCTATTCTGGGTATAAATATCCTAGTCAGGGAAGAAATTAGGTGGATCACTAAAAGCTGATGCAATTAAGTACCTACTCTTACAGTTAAACACTTGGCTACTTACCAAATTGGTGATTCTAATTCACCCAAAGCCACCTCAGAAGAAAGTTCATGGGCTCTACTTCCAAAAGATGAGTCATTGAAAACCTTATGTAGAGCAGGTCCACTCTGACACACATGGGGTCTCCATGAGTCAGAGTTGACTCAACAGCCTTCGTTTTTTGATCTATCAAACAAGTCATTTTGTTTGATGGGAGCATGCAGGAAAAAAAAAAAAAATGATAATTTAAAGGCACGTGCATAAGAGACTATAAAAACAAATGAAGTAGGAAAGAGATTAGAATGTAAATGCTTATATTTATTTTCTTGTTTAGTTAAAATAATTTTAAATTTATAAAACATTTTGTGGTAAAAAATAAAATCGAGTGAAATGAAATAAAAAATGCCTGTTTCATGTCCCTCTCTTCCAGATAGAACTGCTCTGACATTTATTGACTGCTTACTGTGTGCTTTTTAAAATTCTTTACATATATCACAGCATTGTTACTTAATTCTCACAACAATCCTATAATCCTTTCTTGGTTTTACGGTTGTGGAAAACATCAAGGTAGATTTATACTGGATATACTGTCACCAGCTTGTTCTTTTTTTACACCTAAAATCATATCTTGAATGTCTAATTGCATCAGGTTTTAGTGATCCACCCTCATTATTTTAAATTATTGTATTAATATAGCCTTATATGGGAATGGGTTGGTTATAGTTTTCTGGCATTGTAAACAATGCTTCAGTTTTAACTATAACCTTGAATTTTGTTTTTGTACTGATACCGCTCTTCTTTGTCAGAACTAGGGATGATAAAATTATCACATATGCCTAAAATAACATGAATATTTCGAAATGTACAGTATTCTGAAATCAAGAAAACATGTCACTAATTTTATTTAAATTCTGCCAAATTCCATTTATTTATTTGTTTATTTGACTTGTTCTTCAAGAACACATGCCAAATAGCAATCAACTAGTATTGTGGGAGCTCTGGTGGTGTAGTGCCTAAGGTATTTGACTGCTAACCAGAAAGCTGAGGAAGATGGGGCAATCTACTTCCGTAATGATACTGCCTCGGAAACCCAAGGAGGGGTCACTGTGAGTTAGGTCCAACTCGACGGCACATAACAACAACAACAATAGTATTTATTGATCAACTAGTATACTTAGTGCTCACTACTGTGCCATGTTGTCATACTTAGTGAATTCACAAGGGTGTGAAAAAACCAAGTGTAAGAGTAACATGAGTTTGAGTCTTAAGTAACAATTTTATCAAGATGCTGTTGTAACAAGTCTAAGCGTATTTAGGCAAAGGAGGAGGAAACACTATGAAAACAGGTACCACAGAGTATCTGCATTTCTTTCTATGTGTATCTTATCATCATGCCTTTTCCTTCTCTCATCTGAAACTACATTACATGAGTTACATATATAACCCATTGCCTATGGACTTTCAAAAATGTCCTCATACCTTTCTTTTTACATTTAAAAAATTTTTAGATTCCTTCTCTGCTACTTTCATGAAGAAGGAGGTCTTGACTACTTAAAAATTTGGTTTTGCTCATGCTGTAAGCCTGCTTTCAAATATGCTAACTCTTGTTATCTTTGTTAACTTGTAAAAGGTATTTAGATCTCAGATGCTCAGTTATCTTACCTGTAAAATGGAGATCATTGTACTATCTTGTAGAATTGTTTTGAGCATTAGTGATAGTTAGAGATGAAGTACAGTACAGTGCCTGACAGAGAAGTGCTCAATAAAGAATAGCTTCTGACATTACCATTTTCATCATTAATATTACTACCACCATCTCTAGTTTTTTTTGGTTGTCTAATAAAATTTCTGTTACATCCCTTCTTACTTTCTCTTTGTGAACAGTGGAAGAGTAGTGAATGCACAATTATTCTACTTGTAGCAAAGTATATCTGTATAACCTATTCAAAGGGTAAATACTTTCTTTTTAAGAGCTGAGTTTTTTGGACTTTGAATTGAACATTGTAGTTAAAGTTGTACGTATATTGAGACATTGTCTTCAAAATCCTCCTATTGGTGAAGAGGTCCTCTCTCTGTTCAGGTCTTATATTTAGAAAATCAAATAAACTAAGGCTACCAACTTCTTGTGAATGTTGGACTAAAAATTGCTTATAAAATAAACAGGGATTTATTTTTACTCCTCCAGTTTAGAAATGTGCTTTGTAGCATTAGTGAGTACGATAGGTACTTGAATTGAGGAATTGTTGGAATTCCCATTGAGATATTTCAACAAACGGATGCGGCACTGGAAGCGGTCACTAGTTTATGCCAAGAAATTTTGGAGATAGCTACTGGCTGACTGACTGGAAGAGATACGTATTGGTGGCCATTCCAAAGAAAGTGATCCAATAAAAAAACTACTGGAACTAATAAGGTCAGCAAAGTGGCAGGATACAAGGTCAACATAAAAATTAGTTGGATTCCTCTACACCAACAGAGAGACCTCTGATAAAGAATTAAGGGAAACAATACCATTTACTATAGCTACTAAAAAGATAAAATATCTAGGAATAAACTTTACCAGAGACACAAAAGACCTATATAAAGAAAACTATAAACCACTGCTACAAGAGACAACAAAGGCACTACATAAAAGGAAGAACCTTGTTCATGGATAAGTAGACTGAATATTGTGAAAATGTCAATACTGCCTAAAGCAATCTACACATTTAATATAATCCCAATCCAGATTCCAACAAAATTTTTTAAAGACATGGAAAACCCAGTTTACTAACTTCACATGGAAAGGAAAGGGACCTTGGATAAGCAGAGCACTTCTGAAGAAGAAAAAGAACAAAGTGGGAGGTCTCACAGTCTCAGATCTTAAGAAGTACTATACAGCCACAGTTGTCAAAACAGCCTAGTATCGGTACAATGATAGACAGATAGACCAATGGAACAAAATCGAAAGGTCTAGATATAGACCCATCCATCTATGGACAACTGATCTTTGACAAAGGTCCAAAACCCATTAAATGGGGAAGAGACAGCCTCTTTAACAAATGGTGCTGGCAAAACTGGATATCCACTTGCAGAAAAATAAAACAAGACTCATACCTCACCCCATACACAAAAACAAACTCAAGCTGGATCAAAGACTTAAATGTAAAACCCAAAACTATAAAATTCATCAAAGATAAAATAGGGGCAAATCTGGGGGCCCTAATTTATGGCATAAATAGACTATCAAGCATAACCCAGAATGCACAGGAGGTAGAAGAGAAGCTAGATGACTGGGACCTTTTAAAAATTAAATTCTTATGTGCATCAAAAGACTTCATCAAAAGGATAAAAAGAGAGCCTACAGATTGGGAGAAAATATTTGCCTATGACACACCTGTTGGGGACTTATCTCCAAAATCTATAGAAAATTTCAACACCTCAACACCAAAAAAACAAATAACCCAATTCACAAATGGGCAAAAGACTTGAACAGACACTTCACCAAAGATGATATACTGGCGGCCAACAAACACATGAGAAACTGCTCGTGATCATTAGTCATTAGAGAGATGCAAATCAAAACAACAATGAGATATCATCTCATCCAGCAATAATAGCAAAGTTCAACAGATCAGAAAATAATAAATGCTGGCGAGGTTGCAGAGATTGGAACTCTTGTGCACTGCTAGTGGGATTGTAAAATGGTACAACCATTGTGGCATATGGTATGGCGTTTCCTTAAAAAACTGAAAATAGAAATACCATTTGACCCAGCAATTCCATTACTAGCAATATATCCTAAAGAGGTGAGAGACAGTGCATGAACAGACATATGTACACCTATGTTCATTGCAGCACAATTCACTATAGCAAAGAGATGGAAACAACCTAAATGCCTATCAATAGATGAGTGGATAACCAAATTATGGTACATGCACACAATGGAACACTATGCTACATAAAAGAACAATGAGAGATATGTGAATCATCTCACCACGTGGATGAGCCTGGAGGACATTATGCTGAGTGGAGTAAGTCAACACAGAAGGACAAGTACTGCATTAGCCCATTACTGTAAAAAGACAAAGAAGGGTTTGCTTGCGAAAGGGGACTCATGTTCTAGGTTACTAAGGTGGGGAGGGAAGGGGAGGGATTAATTTCAGGCTAGTTGGGGCCCACATGCTAATGTGGGTAAGGGGAGGGATATATGGAAAGAGTCTGAGACTACCATGATAACATTAGGAAAAGGGAGGACACTGAATTGTGCGCATAGGAGATAGACGACAGATGCTAATACCAACCAGTGTGTCCACAATACTGCATTACTATTAACACTAAACACCAGGCTACAGATAAACACCTAAACACCAAAGAAGACCAGATGGGGGTCAGTGAACAGGAGTATACTCTAGACCAGGGATAGATTCAGTGCAGGCTAATCTTGCACAGATACCAGTGACACAAAATACCTGCAATCCTTACAGAAATAATAGAAGGCAGACACAGAGCAATCCCTCACAGACACCCAGACACTATGGGAGAGATCCAACAGATCTACCCTCTCAGGACCATAGTACTGGGGGGCACTAGACTCAATTGGCACAACAAAATACATAAAAGCCTTGTTCCTCATCTTACATTGGTGAGTAGCAACTGGGGTCTTAAAAGCTTTCAAGCGGCCACCTAAGATGCACCTAATGGTCTCCTATCTTCGGAAGCAAAGAAGAATTTTTTTAAAAAAAGAACAAGGGCATTTGGATGCAATCAGCCCGAGGACATGATGGCCATTGAGATCAGAAGAACTAGATGGTGCCCGGCTACCAATGCCAACCACTCAGGACGAGATCAAATCTGGAGATCTGGATAGAGTGGGAGGAAAAACATGGAACAAAATCCAAAAACTCAACAATGACGAGAATTACTGGTCGGATGGAGTCTGGTGAGATCCCCAATACTATGGCCCTGGAATACTTTTTGCACCTAGAATAAAACTCACTCCCAGGGCCTGGCTCTCAGCCCAATAGTTACATGCAGACTATTCAACCCAGAGGGATGTACCCACTTATTCTAAGATGCATCCCTTGGAGCAATAGACCACGGGGCATCAGAGGGGCAACACTCACACGGAGGTAATGCAGGAGAGACAGGAGTGTATAACTATGAGGTGCACTGGGGGAGGGTTACTGGGCAAGAAGGGGAGGAGTCTGGATTAGGGTTGAGCATGGTAAATGGGGAGTGAAACTAAATGTACACGTAACGTTGAATGTAAAACAAACTTAAATAAAAAGGTGATCAGCAGAATGCAGAAATTATCAAACAACATCATTAATGTCACATGCAAGTAAAATTATGCAGAAAATAATTGAAAAATGCTTGCAGCAGTATATCGACAGGGAACTGTCAGAAATTCAAGCCGGATTCAGGAGAGTGCATAGAACCAGTGAAATCATTGCTGATATCAGATGGATCTTGGCTGAAAGCAGAGAATACCAGAAAGATGTTTACTTGTGTTCTATTGACTGTATATTAGACTGTGTGGATCATTGCAAATTGTGGATTGTATTGTGAAGAGTAGGAATTCCAGAACATTTAATTTTGTTCAGAGGAACAAAATTGGTACAGAGGAACCTATACATAGACCAAGTGGCAGTCATTTGAACAGAACAAGGGGATACTGCATGGTTTAAAATCAGGAAAGGTATGCATCAGGGCTCTATCCTTTCTCCATAGTTTTTCAGGCTGTATACTAAGCAAAGAATCTGAGAACCTGCATTATATAAAGAAGAATGTGGCATTAGGATTGGAGACATACTCATTAACAACCTGTGATATGCAGGTGACACAACCTTGCTTGCTGAAAGTGAAGACTTGAAACATTTACTAATGAAGATCAAAGACTGCAGTCTTCAATATAGATTACATCTTGACATTAAACAAAAGTCCTCACAAGTGGCCAAGTAAGCAACCTCATGATAAATGGAGAAAAGATTGAAGTTGTCAAGAATGTCATTTTACTTGGGTCCACAATCGGTGTCTATGGAAGTAAAAGACAAGAAATCAAACAACATATTGCATTGGGCAGATATACTGTAAAAGACCTCTTTAAATTATTAAAGGACAGAGATGTCACTTTGGAGAGTAAGGTACATGTGACCCAAGCCCTGGCCTTTTCAATAGCCTCATATGCATGTGAAGTTGGACAATGAATGAAGAAAACTGCAGAAGAATTGATACATTTGAATTGTGGTGTTGGAGAAGAATATTGAATGTACCATGGACAAAACCAATCGGTCTTGGAGGAAGTACAGCTGAAATGCTCCTTAGAAGCAAGGATGGTGAGACTTTGCCTCTTGTACTTTGGACATGTTATTAGAAGGGACCAATGGCTAGAGAAGTACATTGTGCTTGGTAAAGTAGATGGTCAGCAAAAAAGAAGACCCTCAAGGAGATGGATTGACACAGTGGCTGCAATAATGGACTCAAACAAGGAACAATTTTGAGGATGGTGCAGGACCAGGTGGTGTTTTGTTCTGTTGTATATCAGGTTGCTGTGAGTTGACACCAGGTCAAGGGCATCAGACAACAGCGACATAGGTATTTGATAATTCTATTTAAAGATGCTAGTGGTTCTTATAAACTGAAACCTATTTGAGAATTTATTTATTTATTTATTTATTTATTTTTATAAACTGCTCCTTAAACTTTTCCTTTTATTTGTTTCCTTCAGGAAATAGCACACTCCCAGGTAAAACAGGAGGCTGTATTGCTGCATGAAAAACTTTATGAGTTAGAATCTCATCGAGATCAAATGATTGCAGAAGACAAAAGCATGGGCTCTCCAATGGAAGAGAGAGAAAGATTACTTAAACAGGTAGGAGGAATGACCATACTTACTTTACTATGTCAGGATTTGGTAAATGTATTGATTTGTTTAAATAATATAAATTGAATGGAAAACCAATACATTTATTGTCTACAGAAACAGTGAAAAGCTAGCTTCACCTAAATAAATATGAAGTACTTGACCATGAAAATCCAGGTAGAAGTCATTTTCTCACAAAGACTGTTTTGTGGCTTACAATCATTTTATATTGTCTATGTGCACATTTTGGCCATTTTTCTCATGTTTTGAGCTCTGGTGGCGTAATGCCTAAGGCATTTGACTGCTAACCAGAAGGCTGGCAGTTCAAACCCACTATCCACTCCTCAGAAGGAAGATGGGGCAATCTACTTCTGTAGAGATACCGCCTTGGAAACCCAAGGAGGGGTCACTATGAATCAAAATCAGCTCAATGGCAGTGAGTTTCGTTTGGTTTGGTAGGAAAATTTGTAACTATTCCTTTTTGGTTATTAAATAGTCAGATAATCTTATTGAAGATATATTCTATGATCTGTTTTGGGCCTTGTATATAGAAAATAAAGTTCCCAAGGCTAATCACTTAGCTGGTTAATACTATCAATGCCTCATGAAGGAAATGGAATTCAAATGTCCTATAAAATTATAGTAAGTCATAAAGTCTTGTCACATATATTCAGTAGCTTAGCCTGAGACTAGCTTTATTTACTTACAAGTTATAGATAAACTATTATTTATCCTAAGATACTTTAACTATAAGGAGCTTTGGTGGGTGTCGTGCCTATGGCATATGACTGCTAACCAGAAGGTTGGTGGTTAAAAAACACCAGCCACTCTGTGGAAGGAAGATGCGCAATCTACATCCATAAAGATTTACCGCTTGGAAATCCAGTAGGGGTTGCTATGAGTTGGAATTGACTCAATTGCAGTGAGTTTGGTTTTTGGTTTGATTTACACTAACTGTAGGGCCCTCATGAGAATTGCACTTGGGAACAGCTCTAGTCAGGAACCTAACAAGGAAAGTCCTTTTATGGTCTTAGGTTGGAATGGGTTAGGGATCAATACAGGGACTATGTAATTATTACAGTCATTCTAGAAAGTTACTAAAATTTTTAGAACCTCTGAAGTACCTTAGAGAATTTTTTTTAAGTGCTAAAAGAACTTAGAGATAAGCAATCAATAACCTTTTAGTATAAGTGTATATATGTATAAGAATGATTGTTGTTGTCAGGTGCCATCAAGTTGTATCCGACTCGTACTGACTCTCTGTTCAACAGAAACACTGCCTGGTCCTGCCTGCACTATCCTCACAATCATTGCTATTTTAGCCCATAATTTGAGCCACTGTTTCAATCCATCTCATTGAAGTTCTTCCTCTTTTTCCCTGTCTATCTACTTTACCAAGCACAGTGTCCTTCTCCAGGGACTGGTCCTTCCTGGCAACATGTCTGAAGTATGTGGGACAAAGTCTTACCATCCTCACTTCTAAGGAGCATTCTGGCAGTATTTCCTTCCAGACAGATTTGTTCGTTCTTCTTGCAATCCATAGTATAAAAACAATTATATCCCAATATTGCATGGGACACATGTATACTAAAAAACTATTAAGTGTTTATCCAAAACTCAAGTTTAACCAGATGTGCTATATCCTTCCTACTTTTGGAGGTAGTGTATTAGAAATCCTAGATGTTAACATAAATTGATTCAGTCCTGAAGATGTGTTAGCCTAATAGTGCCTTGTGGCTGGGTTATGAGTCTTATTAATTGCTACCCTTCCTTTGAGGAAGAAGGGAAGAAACTGAATAGTTCCTTAAGTGCTGTTCCTTTAACTTCAGCGGTTGCATTCTGAGAAATAATTTTCAGAAAAGAGACTAGATACAACACTTTAGTGCAGTATACCTTAGAAGAAAATTCTCTTTAGATAGTCTAATAATGATTTATTTTTAAAATGTTATCTTATTTTTATGCCTTTATAGGTTAAAGAAGATAACCAGGAAATAGCCAGCATGGAGAGACAGTATGTACCTTCATATTTGGACATTTTACATCCATTTCTCATCTTTTAAATTATATTCTAAATCTATAAGAGGTGCATATTGGTACAGTCATTCTTTCTTTGGTTAACACTGATAATACAGATGCAGCTTTCACTCTTGGTTATAGCTTTAAATATTTCTTTGAATGTTTAGAGTCAGTCCATCGTATATATTTTTTTAAAATATAGATTTATTAAGATATAATTCACATACCATACAATTCACCCATTTAAAATGTACAGTTCATGGGCTTTTAGTATATTCAGAGTTGTGCAGCATTCACCACAAACACTTTAGAAGTTCTGATCACCTGGTAAGAAACTCTAGACCCCTTAGCCACCCCTCATTATCTTTCCTCCCAGTTGTAGGCAACACTAAGTTACTTTCTCTCTCTACATAGTTGCCTGCTCTGGACATTTCATATGAATAGAATTATAAAATGTTGAGTCCATAAAATGTGTGGTCCTTTGTGACTGACTGCGTTCACTTAGCATGTTTTCAAGATTGATACATTTTGTAGCATTTGTTAGTGTTTTGTTTGTTTTTATTGCCAAATAATACTAAATTGTATAGATATACATTTTATTGATATATTCATTAATTGATGGACATTTGGGTTATTTCTGCTTCAAGTCTATTATGAATAATGCTGTGGATATATGTTTTTGCTTCTCATGGGTATGTATTTAGGAATAGAAGTTGCTAGGTCATATAATAACTCTTGTATTTAAGCTTTTGAGGAACTGATGGCCTGTTTTTTAAAGTGGCTGCATCATTTTTCCTTTTCACCAGCAGTGCATGGGGGTTCCACTTTTCCCACATCTTCACCCACCCTTCTTGTTATCTGTCTTTGTTGCTTTTTGATTACAGACATCCTAGTGGGTGTGAGGTGATATTTCATTGTAGTTTTGAGGTACATTTTTCTGATAGCTAATGATGTTGAGTTTCTTTTCTTGCGCTTATTGGCTATTTGTATATTTTCTTTAAAGTAATGTGACATATATTTACAATGACCAAAAAAGAGGGAGTAGCTGCTGAGGCTATTTATATACAACTAAAAACCCCATTGGATTTTGCACCTTGGTTTAGAGGTTTAAGGTCGTGATTTCACGGCATAGCCCAGTTAATTGGCGTAGTAACATGATTAGTGCTTCTGTTCTATGTCCTAGTTTGTTGTATAGTGCTTGGGGTCTTAAAAACTTGCAGGTGGCCATCCAAGGCATGACAATTGATCTCTATTTATGTGAAGCAACAGAGGAATGTGTGGCTAATTGCCTCCATGAACCACAGCCTCCTTTGCCATGAGACCAGAAGAAGTAGGTGGTGTGAGGCCACCATTACTGAACATTTTGATCAGTTATTCCATGGGAGAATCCTCATCAAAGAGAAAAATGCAGAACAGAATTTCAAATTCTTATGGTTACTAGACTTTTTGGAGCCATGGAGGATAGATTTAGAAACTATTGCCCTGAGATAATCTTTAAAATTTAAACCCAAACTCTCCCTGAAGTCTTCTTAAAACCAAACAATTGTTTAGCTTAACTAGTAAAAAAGATGTGAGGAGCGTGATGCTTTTTTCAGAACGTCTATATAGGATCAAGTGACAACAGCAACTCAAAAGGTTAGATAAAACCTTAGGGGTCACTGAATTTTATTAATGGGGAAGGAACAACTCAGAAAAAGCAGGTGAGAATGTTGTCTAACCCGAAGAATGTAATCAGTGTCACTGAATTGTACATGTAGAAATGGTTGAATTGGTATATGGTTTGCTGTGTATATTCTCAACAACAACAAAAACATACAATAGAAAAAAGGTCTGTTGAAATCCTTTATCCATTTTACTGAAGTTTACATTATCTGTCATAAATTCATTAGATAATATTTTTGATAGGTTAACAGATATAAAAGAAAAAATAAATCAGTTTAATGAAGAAATTAGACAACTTGACATGGATTTAGAAGAACACCAAGGTAATATTTATGGTATTTTTTATAATGTAGATTAACAAATATATAGTAGTATTAATAGACTAGTATTACTATATCAATATAACTATTTATTATTTTACTACCCTGGATTTATTATTTAATTCTTTATGATATTACTCATTTAGCTGCTAAAATACATACTAAATTTTATACTGATCACAAACTTGAAATAACTTGAAATTATTGCATAATGAAGAAAATGTATTTAGTTTTACAAAGTAGTTGTTTTTTTTTTTTTAATAATGAACTAAAATGATTTAAAGTTGTTACATATTCCTAAATTATACTTCCTCAGTATAACTGGTAACTGGTAGGACTGGGGCAGGGTGGTGGTGGTGGTGATCAAGTCAGAAATATCACTTATAATCCAGAAACAATTCCCTTGTGGAACCGAGTAATGAAGTAGCATGTACTGATTATCCTGATCTTCTCTCAGCTGGTAGCATAGTGCCTAAGGCACTTGACTGCTAACCAGAAGGCTGGCCGTTCAAACCCACCAGCCACTCCTCGGAAGGAAGGTTGGGCATCCTACTTCCGTAGTGATACTGCCTCGGAAACCCAAGGAGGGGTTGCTATGAGTTGGGGCCGACTCGATGGCAAATAACAACAACAACAACAACTCTCAGCTTTGCCCAGCAGTGGGATTTGAAGAACCAAGGCAAGAGCCAGACACCTGGGGGAGCTTGGGGTCTGAACGAGTAGAAATGCTATGATGAGGATTCCTGAGTACAGTGTATGTATGTATGGTTAGGGAAAACAGTTGGGGGTAAAAGTTTTCTAGCCCACTTCTGTCTAAAAAGGTAGAGCAAGATAGGTTTCCAGTGGCCTTTTAATCACAGTTTAACTGCAAACTGGTTAATATATGCTCTTGAATTAGGGAGAATTGACTGTATGTTACTATGCATCAGTAAAGTATTATATGCCTAGTATGGCTAAAGAAAATTCCGTAAGGAAAAAAGTGTTCTATTTCTAAAATAATTTTTCACTTCAGTTTTAAAGGTGGTATATCAGTTTTATTTATCTTGATCTTGATTTGTGAATGGTCACATTAGCTATTATTGAATTACTTACTGGGATTGGGTACTTTGTACTCTTGGAAAAAACCATTTGAAGCCTTCGTAACCCCTTTTTGTACTTATTGAGACTGGAGAAGTTATATAAGTAAGTGGTAAAGTCAACAACAACACAACACAATGTGCTGCCGTAGAGTCAGATCCAATTCATAGTGATCCCTCCTTGGAAACCCAAGGAAGTAGATTACTCAACCTTCCTTCTGAGGAATGGCTGGTGGGTTTGACCTGTCAGCCTTCTGGTTAGCAGTCAAATGCCTTAGGCATTATGCCACCAGAGCTCCCAGTGGTAAAGTCAAGATTTGATGAAAGGTCTCTTTGGTTCTAAAGTCTTAGTTCCATTGCCGAAGCCTAACTAAGCTTGGCTTTCTGATATGAACTGTTGGCATGTGTGAAGTAAACATTTTCTTGTGAAATGCTTATATATAGTTTTATTTTTATATGGCTACTAATGGCTTTAAGGAGCCCTGGTGGCACAGTGGTTAAATACTCAGCTGCTAACTGAAACCCACCAGCTTCTCTGTAGAAGAGAGATGTGGCAGTCTGCTTCTATAAAGATTTACAGCCTTGGAAACCCTATGGGGCAGTTCTGCTCTGTCCTACAGGGTTACTATAAATCTGAATCAACTCGATGTCATTTTTTTTTAACTAATGGCTTTAAATAAGGCATGTAAAGGTAGATAACTTTAAGTTCCAGCTATTAAGTAAGTTAATTAACTCAACTGAGTTTTAGCTTTCTCATGTGCAAAATGAAGGTAACAGCCCTATTTCCCTATGGTTTATGAATATTAAATGGTGAGGAGGTAGATACACAATGAATTAAGACTAAGGTCATGTTGTTTTCTTTAGTAAATTATTTTATTGCCTTTAACTTATTCTAGATTTTCTTTATTAATGTCTTCAAACCTATTTTGAGAAATCTGATAAAGTTTTTTTGTTTTTGTTTTTATTGTGATTTAGGTGAAAGTTGAAAGTTGAATGGTTTTCCATCCAACAGTTCACACACATTTTGTTTTGTGACATTCATTGCAATCAGAACAGTGTAACAGCACTCTTCCCCCTTCTTCCCTGTGTTTACCGTTTCCTTTGTCCTTCTTTTCTGTTGCTTCTTGCCTTCTGAGCTTTATCCTTGGGCAAATATTGTCCTTTGGATCTCTTTTCATTGATTGTTGTAATGAGTGTATACCTCCCTGATGTTATTGTTTACTTTATAGGCCTGTCTATTGTTTGGATGAAAACTGAACCACGGGGGTAAGTTCAGTTCCAGGCTTGAAGGTGCTTAACGACCATAGTCTCAGGGGTTCCATCAGTCTCTATGAGACCAGTAAGCCTGATCTTTTTATGATTCTGAGTGTTGAAGTTTTATTCCACATTATTCTTCGACTATCCAGAACCCCCTATTGTGATTCTTTTCTGAGTGGTCAGCAGTGGTAACCAGGCACTATCTAGTTGTTCTGGTCTCAGGGTTGTGAAGGTTGTGGTTCACGTGGTCCATTAGTCCTTTGGACTGGTTGTTTCCTTGCGTATTTGATTTTCTTCACTCTTCTTTGCTCCAGACAGGGAGAGACCAGTAGCTGCACCTTAGATGGCTGCTCATAAACTTTTTTTTGTTTTTCTTAATTTTTATTGTGATTTGGATGAAAGTTTACAGAGCAAATTCATCTTCCATACAGCAGTTCACATACACTTTGTCCATGACATTGACTGTAATTTCCCACAATGCATCAGCTCTCTTCCCATTTCTTCCCCATAGTTACTGCTTCCCTGTGTCCTTCCCTCCATGCACTCCTGCCCCCCAAGCTGTCTCCCTGTGCATAACCAGCCCTTCTATTCTCCCATGATTGATCTGTCCAAGGAGTGTATCTACCTAATGTTCAGTTCATATGCCTGTCTTTTGTTTGGCTGGAATCCACAGGAGTGCGTTCAATTCCAGACCTGAAGACCAGGTAGGGACCATAGTCTCAGCAGTTCCACCAGGCTCTATCAGACCAGCAAACTTGGTCCCCTTTTTTTTTTTTTTAATGATTTTGAGTTTTGTTCCACATTGTTCTCCCTCTCTATGCAGGATCTCCTGCATCCCTTCCAAGTGGATGACGGTGGTAGCCGGGCACCATCTAGTTCTTCTGGTCTCATAGTTATATAGATTGCAGATCGGATGATGTACCAGTCACTAGGACTGATTGTTTCCATTAATTTTGGTTTTCTTCTTTCTTCTTGACAAGGAGAGACCCATTGTCGTATCTAGATGGCAGCTTGCTAGCTTTTAAGATCCCAGTCGCTACTCGCCAAAGTAAGAGGTGGAACAATGTTTTGTATAGTATGTTATGCCAATTGAGCTTGATGTCCCCTGCGACT